TGGTACTTTTTTTACATAGACTAATGGGGCAACAAGCATCAGGTGTGGCCCATCAGGGCCACGTATGGGAGGAGACTGGAGGGTCAGGTGGATGTGGTGGGCAGGATGTGACTGTACACCCTACCCCGAAGCATGATTTCTGGTCACGAAGGACAAACGGGAGGGGAGCAAAGGGACTGAACGACAGGGTGGTGGCAAATAAGCAATGACCATCTACATTTTAATTTTTCATTGATTTCAGAAATTTAACCACAAAAACCCAAGTCTATGCTTAAAATCTTCTCATGTTGTGCCATACGTTCCTATTTGGGTATCTTACATAAATGGCGGAGAACAGACAGGATACTGGGTGGGACAAGACATGACAGGATTGACAAGGCACACGGGACAGATACCACAAAAGATGAGACAGAACCACTGGACAGGACAGGGCAGGACAAATGACATGACAAGGGGCACCAAACAAGAGCAGATAGAAACCAGGGACCAACAGGACAATAGTAGAGACCAACAGACAGAACCACATGGACAAAACAGACTAAACTTGGGACATGACAAAGCACCTAGAACAAATATCTTACCTCAGGGGGGACTAGGGAGCAAAAAAGGCAAAAACAGAGACAAATAGAGCAGGCCACACCAAGAGAGGACAGACAAGTAGAGGGGCAACAGAGACTGGAACGAAAACAGAAGAGTAAGCTGCTGGAGACACGGATCAAGAAAAAACAAAGGCAGAATAGGGCTCTGGGACAGGGTCTGAGGCGCAATGAATGAAAATGTAGGGTGCCCTGGAAGTTTTCCCTAACCCTGGAAACCTGGGTGACACAGATCATCCTGGGCCCATTCATTGGTCAGGCGGAGCCCTTCTAAACCACAGAATCAGAGAGCCTTGGAGGGCCAGAGGGTGCTGAGGTACCAGCAGGTCCAGAAGGTGCCTTGGGCCAGCGGGATCAGAGGTCTCTGAGGGGATTGCAGGACAGGAGGGCATCTAGGGGACTGCAGAACAGGAACAGGAGGGCACCAAGGTTTCTCTCCCCAAGGCCGCAGCAGAAGAGGTGTCCAGGTGGACATTGCTCGGCAGACCAGGTTCTAGGCAGCTAGCCTAGATAGTGTAACTCCATCTATCAACTTCTGAGGAAGGAAACTCAGCATGACTCTCTTCTGGGCCCCAGCTGGCGCCATTGACTACACTAGGACTTGGGACCGGGTTGGTGTGTGCTTTGGGCTGAGGTGGGCTTAGAGTGGGATTTAGGGCAACTCAAGTGTAGCTGCGGATCATCAGGGTCACCCTAACTCGGCCTGCCAGCAGCCAGGGAATCAGGCATCAGCTTGGCAGCAACCAGTGGGGAATGAGGAGACCATTGGGTACCTGGGCAACGACTAGAGTTGCGCCGGGCCCCTGGACACTGACTGAAGATGAGGCAGGCACTGCCAGAACATCAGGAGATGAGGCGGGCCCTGGCAGGACATTAAGAGACTTGGTGGGTGCCAATGGGACATCAGAAGATTGGGCTGGAGCCTGTGGGATTTCGGGAGACTTTTCTGGAGCTGGCAGGACAGCAGGATACAAAGCAAAGCTGATACACCTAGGGGCTAGCAGAGCAAGGCCAGGACACCTGGAATTCAGCAAGGCACAGCCAGGACAATTGGAGACAAGTAAGGCACAGCTGGGACACCTGGAGGCGAGCAGGGCGAAGTTGTGACACCTGGATCAGGTCCATAGGGATCATACCTGCCACAGGTCTTGGTGTGGGCAATGTGGTCCTTTCTGGATCAGGAATCTGGGACTCAGGTGGACCACCCCACTTGGGGGACTAGGAGCCTGGAGCACATGCAGAGCAGCCCTCTCTGGGCCAGAAGTCTGATGCATGGCCTCAGGGGGAAGACTGGCTCTGGAGGTACAGTAATGGTGAAGATGGGTTATAGGGACACAGCAGAGGCAAGGACAGGCTTTGGGGATACAGCAGAGGCAAGGATGGGCAGAATGGGCCCCTGTGGGCCAGACTGTAGTAGCTTGGGATGAGAGGTGGCCCCTCCTGGGCTGGACTTTGGAAGAATGGGTGGAGCTGGAGCTAGCTTCAGGGAGCCAGCAGGCAAATGAGTGGAGAGCTGAGTAGTCTCACACAGCAGAGAGCTGGCATGCTAAGTGACAAGCAGTAGGCTGAACGGGTATCAGGAGATGAAAAGGCAACAGGGTAAGCAGTCTCACACTCAATTATTCTGCGCACTTCAGCCACCATGTGCCGGACCTTCACTGCCTCTTGGGGATCCGCATCTGAGGTGAGTCTTGTGAGTACCCTCTCCGCCAACCATATGAGAGATTTGGCCTTGGGGATTTTCCAGACCACAGGATTATTCCTTAGCTCCAGGGTGGTGTCCAGGAGGGAAAAGAAGTCCTACACTTGAAGCCGAGGTGCCTCCTGTGGAGCGGGTAACCCCTAAGACACCTGCATCCAAGGCACTTGGGGTATCCAGCCTGCAGGATGCAGGGAGGTCTGAAAGCTGTAGCAGAGGGGCAGGCTGCTGGGGTTCTTTAGGAATCCAGTCATTCTGTTTTGTCAGGTGGGGTGAAGGACGCATGGGCAGGCGTGGTTGCAAAACAAAAGGGGATTTATTAAACTAACATAACATAAAACCGGACCACATGGGATCAAAATGGGAGAAGCAGAGGAAGGCAGGGCACAGGCAACATGAGGGTACGTCAATGACCAGACTAATGAAGACGGGACAAATGGGTACTTTTATACATAGACTAATAAGGGGCAACAAGCATTAGGTGATGTGAGGGTGGAGACCAGAGGGTCAGGCAGATGTGGCAGGCAGGACGTGCAGTTAACCTAACTGCAGGCCTCTGGAATGTGGATTGAAATTTATCTAACCATAACCCTAAACCAGAGGAAACCTGCACAACAAAACTGCAGACACTGAGCCACCATTCCAACCACAACTATTTGATAAAAAATTATTTTTATATGGATGGATAGTTGCTTGAATGGATTTTATATGTAAATAGGACTCCTAATATGACACATTTTGAATGAAATACTTGGATCTTAAGACTTCTTCATTGTGTTAAACTCCAACCTTACTTGGGAAGAAAGCCTAAATTAATAATGCTGGACAATAATGCTAAATGTACGTCATTTATGTAATACTGTATTTATGTAATTGTCTAATTTTTGTCTTCTCCAAAACACTGCACAAGGAACATTCAAAATAATAATGGCTTAATTCAGGCAAATCAGTAGTAAACTATTCCATTATTGTCTGAGCTTTGCTGGAAGAGTATTGCCCTACCTCGGCAGTGTAAAATGTAATTAAGTCGCAGGAGTAAGTGGAACAGCTCCAGGAGGAAATGAAGAGCTAGCACCCCCTCGATGTGACGAAAGCAGGGAGTTTCTCAGGGTCAGCTGCTTCTAATCAGCAGCCACACTCCACCAAAGGAAATCACAGGGTGGAGGAAATTAACAGAAGACGACAGAGAGAGATGGGATGAGGCAAGTAGAGCACCAGGGAGGATGAGGAATGCCACCAGGAAACCTGGGGGGGGCAGGAAGGTATTTCCAAACAGAGAATCATTATAAATAGGTTAAGCCAAAAGAAAGCATGGCAAATAGCAACATCATCCGAGACACCAGAAGGAAAACAGCATTTTTCAGCATTAGCAGGATAATGTTTAAGGCCTTCAAGTTAAAAGTAAAGGTTGCTCCACTTTTTAATGCATTGACGGTGTTAAGACTCCATTGCAGTAGTTTCAAAGTCTTTCATCAACAAATGTTGGTAGTTAGGTTATTTTTTATCACATTTTAAGTATACATCATTTTATTGTATAAAAATAGTTACCATGTTATTCTCCGAAACAATCTGTTCTACTGTCATCCTAGACAGGACAATAGCATAATAATAATAAAAAAATGACTCCATGCAGGACACCACACCCCCAGATATTTAAAAATAAACAGGAAAAAGACAAAACTAAGAGAAGTCTTAGTTTTACATGTCAAATTTCACCATTTCCATATCTTCATTTAATTTGCCTTTTATTCACAGCTATACTCAAGAAAGGAGAAGCAGAATGATGGAGAGGAATAGACAGGTTGATTCATAGAGTTTATTGTAGTTAGGAAGTCAAAGTAAGAATAGTAGCACATATGTTGAATGCATTTTCAGATATCCAATCCTGGAGACAGTATGCGGGCCCAGCTCTGCCGCTAAGCTAGGGCCGTCAGTAAAACTGAATAACTGATTGAACAGTTGCAAGGAGTGCTAGCCGTAATTTATATGGAAGAAAGGACTGGTTGTTTTAGCAGAGGCCACAATAGACAAGACAGCGTTGTCTATCAAGCAGCTGTCATTGTGCTCTAGATACAGGTGCAGTGCAGAAGCTTTGCATACATGTTTCTGCTGCTTGTTGCATAGTTTTTCTTGGCATGTGAGACAGGGAAGTGCTGTTACATTGGCAACATTGCTATCAAAACATTAATATGAGGTCACTTCTCCCACTCAACCAAAAAGCACAACACGCCATAATAAAACTATCTACAATATCTTCAGATGACCTTCATATGATACCCAGTTGCTCTAAGGGATGGAATATTTAACATTTTGCATTAGTTCTGCACTAAGGAGTTTCTCACATGTATTTACACACTCCTAATATAGATACAATTTAAAATTAACTGTATGATCGGCATTCAGATATCTTTTGATGATTCCCATGGAGAGATTAGACGCCACATTAGCCATATTAGTACAGGCTCCTAAATGAGAGTTTCACCCAGTCTCCTGTCAGAAATCCACAACACCCCAGGCCCTACAGCCTTGTGTAAACTTACCATGACATTCTAGGACGACTTGACAAATAAGTGATGACCATCCACATTTCAAATTTATGAAATCAATAAAAAATTAACCACAAAAACCCAAGTCTGTGCTTAAAACACACTCACTTTATGCCACACGTTCCTGTTTGGGAATCTCACATAAATGGCAGCACTTACCTCCTGCAGGCCTGCCTGGTCTGTGCAGCTGCAAGAATTGATGCGTCCCAAATTTAGAGAGACAGGAATACAAGGATTCTGCTTTGGATCAGGGTTTTCATCCCGCCCAACTCCCTGTCACAGCCATTCCTACTGTATTTTTATGTTATTCCTCACCCTGGATAATGCTTCCTGAAAGGTACCCAGCTATTAATAGAGTTCGCCGAGCTCTGCAGTCTTCGGCTCTGCCTTGCAGCTCTGGAGCTAAGTAGAGCTGGTGATCCTGGTGAAAAACTTCATGTCAGTTCCAGCGAAAATTCAACCATATCCCCTGCACACGACGGACACGAATGACTTGTACTATTTGCACCCTGATGCGTATGCAGCTTGCCTAATAATGAATTACAAAAAAAATTAATAATATTTATTTATCCAGATTTCCACTTGATAGTAGCATTTTGTTGAATATATTCTTGGAAGCATATGCTGAAGTAATGTATCAGCTGGCACTTTTTAATATAAATTTTCTAAAGCTATATAGGAGGTGTGTGTGTGTGGTGGGGGTGGGTTTCATCTTCTTAAATATTTGTGTCTGTAGTCTGTCTGTCTCTTTTTAACGATTCCTTCAACTCAAGCATTTCTCACATCTTCAATAGCGCTTCTGGTTCTTTGGGAAAAACACACACTCCACACACTCCCTGTCAGCCAGCTGTTCCGCATTAATTTTTTCTCCCGTACAGCTGCACTCCTAAATAATCCATGATCTGGGTAGATCTGGGCATATTGTTTGTTATCTGTTTGTATCTTCTTTGGTGCTAGCACTCATATTTCTTATAATTTGACATGCTTCACATTATTTGTTGGATGTTTGGTAGAAATTGATGCACCAACCATACTGATTCAAGACAATCAGTCTCTAAATCTCTTCACACAAAATTTAAAATAGCATGTTTTTTTCAATTAAAAATGCAAGCTTGGCCATTTCTTTGTCTTTCCAAAGTATATTACTACAAGTAATACAGTTGCCTGTTGGAACTGTCAAACTCTCAATGCCCTGAGGAATATTGGCAGTGCGTTTGTGATGAAGGTTTGTGTTTTGAAACTGACCTTAACAACAAAACCAAAGGAAACAGGAAGGAGGGGAAAAGCCCTAATAATGGCCACTTGATGGCTTCTCACAGGATAGGAAGTGACAGTGGACAGGACATCCATTATTCATAGCTGCATCACTGCATCATTTCTTCTTCCTCATGCCACAGTGCATCGAACCAGTCAGAATTTCATTGAGAGGCTCTGGCCATGCTTGTGACATTGGTACCTGCAGAAATCACCAAGCAGCCAATCTGAGTGTTCAATCACAAGGATATTATCATTAACGTATGTCTGTACACTCATTGATCGAAAGGCTGTCCCTCAATCTAGCATTGAATGATGCTCTCAGAAATCAGCAGTTATCAGTAATCTGGGTTTAGGGTGTCTTAATTCAAGGCTAATAAGAAAATTGGTGTGTCCAAATTGTAATAGTGTCCAGTAGGAAGCTGCTGGGAGGTTAAATATATGGGGCATTTTTAGGTGTGTAATTTGACTGAAAGTAAACTAATTCAAAAAAGAAAGAGATTGTAATGGTCCCTAGGATGGACTGGCATTCCATCAATTGTGCCCTGTGCCCTATAATTGCTGTGATATGCTCCAGGCTCTCTGTGATCCTCTACTGCAATGCTGGTCAATACTATAGGCAACATAGGCGGTCACCTTGGGCACCAAATTCTGAGGCGGTGCCGACTTGCCAGCGAATGTCACTCATTCCTGGACAGGGGGCACCGGCAGTGATGCTCACCTAGTGTGCCATATCAACTAGGACCTGTATTGCTATGCTATATAGGTGTTATTGAAGCTCGATAGTTGGATGGTATTTAATGATTTATGTCACATATCACTGAGGCACAAAGCCAACCTTAAACCAAGTATAAAAATTTAGAACTTCTGAAGCCAATAGAGTTAATCAGAAGAGCCTATCTGAAACGTGGTGGACAAGGAGGGCTGCTCTATTGCAGAAGTAATATGCCATGGGTTGTTAGCAGTCATTGGGGTAATGTTCACATTCATGGGTGACACAGATCAACCTGGCACTCAATATCGGAATTACAGTGACAGCTGCTGGAGTGTCTTTTGTTCATCTGGTCTCTAATCCATCAGCAATAACTCCATGCTATAAATGGCTTACTGGCTGAAAGGTAACCTTATTATCAACTGGAAGTCATAATTTGGCTTCTGAATTTTATATTTAAAGAGACCATAAAATTTAGACAATGTAATATTTAATTCATCTTCATAAGAAATAAAAAATTGTTGCCATCTATTTTGTGGATAGAATATGCAATCTGATCTTGTGTATGGTGAAACATCTTTAAAGGATTTACTATCAATATTTAACTTAGAAGTTTAGAGAAGTTAAAATACGGGAATAACAGCTATTTCAAATGTGAACTAAATGTTTGATTTGAAATGTAATTGTCAAGCTGCACCTAGACAGTATCATTAAGGTTTTGCAGTATTTCCCCTATAGTCCCAGTTACAAACAATTTTGAATTTGTCATTCACAGCTGTGGCATTAAGTAATCTCACGTCAAAACATACAAATATTATTAGAAAAAGAAAATAATGCATAAACATTAGCATGATTTAAAATTATCCAAATGAAAAGCACCCATGATTACCCTGTTCCCTCAACTGACTTCAACCAAAAAGCACTGGATTATTCCATGAATCATATATCAGTTAGCTATAGAGCTATTAATGGTCATAAACATCAAAAGAAACAGAGCTACATTTTGGACATATGCATTTAATATTTCAGAATCTCTCATTTCAAGTATTTACTGACAATTGCTGTTCCAAGAAAAATATTTACCACCACAACACAGCATTGAACCTGCCATTGAAATAATATCAAAATGACCAATTGAAGTTGGTCTCTGATGGGCACTCTTGGTATAGAGCAAGACTACAATTCGTGGGTCATCAAAAAAACGCAATAATTCAAATAGTTTGGTGTGGGAAAATTGCATTTTTTTCTATCAAGTTTTTGTAATACCCGTACTGGGAGCTATCATGGGCTAATCAAAACCATCTTCTAGTAATTTTTACATTATATTCCAATATTATTTGGAAGCTTGTTATTATAAAGTCTTATCAAATAATATTATGAATGCTATTGTTTGTTTATAAAAAAAATAACAATCCCCTTGGGAGCAAGGGTTTTCAGTAATTGTTGTAAAAGCAATATTATGATTTTAACTACGCAAGTTCAACCATTTATCTCTGTTTTAATTAACTGAACAAAAGAAAAATGAATTCATCGACTTTCGACTTCATTCTTGTTTGGCACAATTCTGGAAAAACAGTCTGTTGGTTTGCTTTTCTGTGGCTATTGTGCTATGCCATCTGTATCATGTTACACCAAGAAAAAAAATGCAAAATGTGATTTCAAACACTGCTCCAGCAACGGCAGATATTGTTATTATATTTTTAATTGACCCCGGATCAAATAAGGACTGAGATGATATTTTCTTAAGTTATTTCTCTTCCCCACAGAAAGTGGTTTCGGGAAAACTTCATTTCATAACTTTTCTGCATGGCAGTAACCATGCAAATGACCTCTTAACTTTTCACTGTTATGTGTGGTAGGGTTGCCTGTGAGAGTTATTGGGGCCACCATGTTGTGGCAGACATCAAACAAAGCTCTGCTGTGTGACACAACCACTCTGCTGCACTTCCCTATATGGTCTCAGGGCCATTCCCTCTCCTTTCAGTTACCGCCCCAACCCCCCCACCACCCAAACACACACACACACACTTCACAAACCAGCTGGTGTAAAGGCCATTTAATGGGCACTACTACTGCAAAGCTTTTAAACAAGCTGTTTATCACATCAGCTCATGACTACAAGTAAAGGGTCACACACCTGTGGCTTTCAACTCAAAAGCCCAATAAAACAGGGACTTGAACAGTATTTTAAGTATTAGTCAGACGATGCAATGTTCGGTTCAATTCAGAGCCTCCATGGGAAAACTGACAAATACACTGCACATTTGATTAGAACCAGTAAATTCAGTGTCCAGCAATCTAATATGCCAGCTATGAAACTACCACACAAAGCACTCCTGTCACAGAATGAAAATTGTGGTGAAATTGATTAAAATGGGGAGTAAAATGGTTAGCAGACTTCCTCATGTGTTGTAATTCTCATATTACATGGATTTCATCATTCCATATCAATCACTTAAAGTACTATGTGGCTCAGCTCACTGAGTTGTGACTTCTGTAGTCTGAATTTGATTAAGCTCAGCTCGCAGCCAATTCTTAGTGCAATTTCAGGTCAAATTTAAGGCAATATATTTTCTACAAAAGACAATCACTTGTAATTGGAATAATTTGCAATCATATTTTACACTTCACAAGAACATTCCCATTAGAAACAGGAGACCTGGTCATTAGTTTGAGATGCATTTTAGGTAACTTATGTGGTCAGGGTCACTCAGAACTAAATATACTAGTTGACCTCCTTGTACAGTGTTTCTATTATGTGTAACCAAAACCAAAAAAATTCTTGACAAATTTCTTCAGGTTTTATAAGAATTTTGCAGACATATAGCCATCCACTACATATTGGTGTTAATCCGGTGGCTCACATTACTTCAAAATTGGGGTGCCCCCCCACCCCCCAAGCCCCAAAATTCCCTCCTTTCTTCCCTCTGCTTTAGCCCTGCCAAGGAAACTGACGAATAGACACCCCTCTGGGGTCCCGGCCAACCTACTGTTGTTTGTGGTTTCCCTCATTTCTCAATGAACAAGTGCTCTGGAAGGCGGCTCTCCGTTTAAAAAGCCTGACATGTTTAAATCGGAAGGATCCCGAACAGATGATTGATGATTGTCAGCGTGGATTATCCCTCTAGCAGGTCGTAACAGGACAAAACAGCAGGGACCGCATAGAGAGTGAGGGACAGAGAAACGGCGTGCTGAAGGAGAGAGAGCATAACACAGAGATCAACTTCACAAGACATTTATTGTTGAAATACAACACGGCTGAGTTGCAGGGAGGCAAGACGCTGTTCAGCGGCACACTCAAGCGAAAGAAGCGCAGGTTGAAGAAAACACGAAGGACAGAATGATGTGCCATGCACACTGTTTTTAAAAGGGACCGAAGGAATGTCTAGTTTGAAGAACAGATATACCTTTTTCATTTAAGACATCAGATTCCCGAAAAAAGGACATTGAAAACATTTGACAGAATATATATTAAAACGTAAACTACGGAATACAATTCCCACGACAGACTGATTGGAAAACTTAAAAACTCGATCTCATCGTCGTTTAACTTTACTGCTTGCCATATCATTACTCTTTACAGCAAACGCTCAAATCACCCACTGAAGAAAACTGGGGGAAACACCTTGGTCTGTCGTATCTAGTACGACTCGCATCAGAAGAAAACGCGATTGCACCTTATCACACTTTGCCTGACGGGAGGCAGCTCAACCAGAGGCTTAGGGACAAAATGTTCACATTTTTGGTCGCCCTTTGCCATATGATAGCAGGTAAGAAAAAATCGCAACAAAGCAAGTGAAGACGCTACATGGTGTTGCCGGATTAAATCATGCAATGTTCATCTTTCATTGTTGGGAGCGCTGCGTCAAAACACACTGCGACGTGTTGATTGAAAGGAGATCATGTAGGATAAAAATCTGGACTGTATCGACAATAGTGCCATGTCGTATTTCGTTTCTCCTCCAAATTAATGCATGCAGTTCTGGCATACAAATGATTTAAAAGGTCCCAAAAACGACTTATTGTTTCAGTGGCATTGCGTAAAATAACTAATTAAACGAGGAGCAGAAGTGTAGGCACAAATGTTGTATTAATATTATTTTCTTAACATTTCATTTTAAGGAGTACATATCCTGTGTATAGAAGTGCTTTATCGTCAAACAACACGTGCACCTTTTGATCTGCAACTTTAAACAGCCAAATAATTAAGAAGAGTGTTGGGCGGTTTTCAGCATCGGAGCGATTATTTTCGCGTTGACGGCGAAATAGTGCATTATGTAAAACAGTACGAAATTGTCTCTGATGTCAAAGCCAGAATAGTGTGCATTTTTTCCGTTCTTATTAAGTTTTAGGTCCACCGATTCCCATGTTTTCCCAAAATTAAATGAAGTGGAAGGTGGTCCCCCAATACAATTACGCGGTACTTCCATGCGTTATTGTATAGAAACACAGAGAGCGGCGGATCGTAAGTGCTCGAATTACTTATATCCGTTTTACTTGTAGCCCTCATTGGGAATTCATTAAAGAATGGCTTTACTCGTTTTTCACTACTTTTCGCTTTCACGGCCACTATAGCCGTATTCAAATAAAGCTATGCTCTAGAATGACATGATCGCAGAATAAATGGGCAATGCTAGTTCACCGAAGGTAACATAAGTCTTATGGGCACTGTTATTGTAGGCTACTTTGGGATGGCTGAATCACACATTGCGGCTCTCGAAACGCCCAATCTACCCGTTTCATCTGGCGGTGTGGCGTGCTCCTTTGTGGGAAAAGTATCCGCAATATCTATACAACTTGTTTATGCCATAGCGTGTCTATCTATCTATCTAGTCTACGTTCGTCCCTCTGTCTTTCTTTCTTTGCTTGTTTTGTACAGGTACTGGCAGCTATCTGGCCATTTCCAGGTACCAGCAATGCACACTGCGGTATGAGCGCTTAAATCAGACACAAATTAGATGTTGTGTTAGGGAAAAAATGACCTTGTGGATACCTAGCTTTATAATATAAAAGGCTTAAATTAATTATAGTATCGATGGGTAATTATGCATGATCAGCTCAACTGATAGATGAACGGCTTGTTTAATTGCGGTCAATCGTACTGAATCGTAATGAAGGCGTATTTAATAATTTAATATGTAATAATTGAATGATGTAGCTTATGTATCGACATAATCAGTCCTTTACTGGTCAATTTAAGCAAAAGATTCATATCTTGCTTCGTATTTAATGGGGCATATTTGAGGTTGCGGATGTTTTGTGCACGACAGCGTTTTCTTTCTTTTATTCTTGTCTTAAGCTATTGTATCAGTCAGAATTGGTTAACGACGAATTTGGGCAAAATGATTTACATCCCCCAGTCTTCAAGACCCAAACGTTTATATTTCTAATTAAGACTGAGAAATGAGGAGCGAAGCAAGGCGCTTTCGTCGACGCTTCAGTAAATGGATTAAAAAACAAATGTTTATTGGCTGTTAAGCTGTGCTTTTTTTCTCTTTTGATGAATGAGACCGGGATATGGACACGTCGGAAATGCTGTAATTAAATTTAAATGCTAAATCAGAATATACAAGCCCGACACACCAACACCCACACTCAGTGTAGAAGTAAAAAGAGAAATGTTAATGAAATGTATGCTGCAAACTAAATTGGAAATACAGAATTGGCCGGGGGGGGGGGTGGAGAAAGTACCGCGCAGTTCTCCAGGGAAACCACACGCTCCTCTATTGAAACTTAGTTTCTTGAACACAGCAGCAAGCAAACTTTCAGTAACCTATTAGGCTTTCTTACTCTTTTCGTCAGTGACGTAATAGGGAGTTTAATGAATCATGTATATGCATAAATATAATGTTTCTAAGGGTTGTGAAACTGACTTTATGTGTAAAATCATCGATGTATGCATTGTTGATGTTGGTCTGGAGCTGCAAAAATGAGATTTCTATGGATCATGCGCTCTACCCCATTTCTGTAAACACTTCTGTCTGTCTGATTGAAGTTAATAAGAGAAGCTGAAATTCGCCTTGGACAGACCTCTTCAGGGGTCACGCCTTGCACATGCAACAGAACCGCATGCATTCCCATGCCTGCCCCACTGTTACTATTCACAGTAGACTTTCTCTGAATGTCCCAAGGTTCCCCAAGGATTTCCATTGCGCCCACATCAAAATTCTGAGTAATCTTCAGTGAGCTCTTTCTGGAACCGTTAGATTTGAGTAGCTAAGTCTCACAGGACCAAGTTCAAAGTCAGTGTGCAGACATCATAGGTTTTTTTTTATTCAGAAGTCCTGTTGCCACTGGAGGCTGTGCCATTGCAGACTAAGCACCAGAACCTTGGTTACTTTTTCACTTCAGCCAAAACTGAGGCAGTAAGACATTAGTCCCAGGGTAAGGCTGTCCAGCTAAATGGGTGGCATAAATAACAGCAGCAGTCTCTTTCCCATCTCCATGCACACACAACTTATTTAGTTGGCAAACTGATAGCTTTACCTCCCTTAACCATTAGTGAAGATTTGTCCAGGACCTATGCTGTGATCAGCACAGGAAATATTTTATGCACCGAATCAGCTCTTGAGGTTTGCTGAGGGAGCTGTGCATATTTTATGAGACACGGTCATTGAATTTGACAGAGTCAGATTGGGGCTGGGGACAGAAGTCTGATAGCTACCCACAGCATGATTGACCTGACATGCAGCAGGAATGTGTGGTTGATCTATTTAGGGTGAAGTGTGCCCCCCCCCCCGAAAGATTAGGGCCACCTTTGGACAACATCACTGTGAATCCAGAGCTGATGAGCTGGTGACAGACACACAATCGAGCAGACACAGCATAACCTGGCCAAGTCATGTACATTATTTAGTAGGCTGACACTCATGGCTTAGATATGGAGGAATATTGGCCTACTTTGATTTCAGAGGAGCACCTGATTTCCAAAGATGCACCTGACATAAATACTGTTATACACATATTTTAAGTCAATGAACAAAATTATGCACAGGAATTCTCTGGAAAAAAGTACTACAACTACTAGGGAGGGTGTACTTCTTATACCTGTTTATTCAGTAGATCAATTTTTACTTGATGTATTAAGCTTTATAACTTTTTTTCTTAGTAGCCTAGTATTGCATGACACATATTCTCAGTCAATAATTCTTTTGTTCTCATACTTGTCCTTGTCCAGACAGTTAACCACTTTTGAAAGAATTACTTGCTCTGTCTTTCTCCACAGACATTAAAGGAATTAATGATTAGACAGTGAGCACCAAATGGAGGAATTCGCAACAGAATGGGCTTTCCTTGCTTGTGCAAGACCTGCCAGGCCAATGGATCGGATCGTATTTCTTTCAAACCATAAAGAATTACCCCCCAAGGCTTTTTGTTTGTCTGTGGTCTATTCTCAACACCCCTCCCCTCCCCCTCTGACTTTCTTCAGGTTTTTTGTACTCCCTTGGTCCAGGTTATAGGCAGACAAGAAAGGACAGGAAACAATGGGGGTTCAATTTCTGTATAATCAGTTTTGCCATTTGAGTAAACAGATAAGAAGAAGCCATTGTGTCATGTGTCTTGTTATCAGCTGTTAGACCTCAGTGGATGTGTTTTTATGGCTCAGGTGAACACAAAGGGCCTCTATTGTAGAAGCCCATTTGTATGGTCTGGCCACTTCTACACATTATTTGTTTTTGCTTTAAATCCCTTCTGCTTCGTCTCTATCTTAACACCTGAGAAACACATCTTCCTGGGGAGATATGGGTAAACAGAGACAGATGATGGGAAACCACTGATGACCACCATTCCATTGACTCCTCCTTTTACACACAATACCCCCCTCCCTCCCAACTGCAAACAGTTGTCAGCTTTATTGACCTTAATTTTCACACAGTGGCCATTGAGTTTCTATTGTCCTGTTCTTCCCTTCAAATACATTTTTTACTAGAGATTAAGAACAAATCCTACAACAATGTTGAATCACCAGTGAAATCTTAATATTTAAAAAAAATACTCATTACTTTTTTGTCACTAATGTCAAATGTGTATAACAGTGAGAAAGAATAAAAATAAATAGCATAAAATACAGCAGACATGTAGTAGAGTAGTACAGATGTAGGATACCTCATAGAATCATACTTTTGTTTTTATTTTCCAACCAATTCCTCTCCCCCAAGAGAAGAATTTCATATCTATTACCAAGGCAGTGAAACCACCAGCAAATTGAAATGTATGTCCTATGGTGGGCAATTTCTTTGTGTCTGTTATCTTTACTAGCCCCGTTCCTTAACTTTATATTAAAGGCAGAACTATTGGTTTAACACGCTGACATGAGTATAGAGAGCACAGAAAATCTACTCAGTTGAGTAATAAACAAAAGCCATCGTACAATTACCATCGTAATTGTAAACATTATTATTACTCATTTTATCATTGACACATTTTCAATTATTTTCTCTTCAACAGAACTTAATTTATACTGCTAAATATGACAGGTCCTCTCTATCAGTTGTGCATATAGCACATTTTAAACATGGCAGTAAAGTCCTGCATATATTTTCGGTCTGTTTTTTTTGTATTTCAAGGTGAAAATAAATCTTGACCAGAACTTGGGGATGGCTTCAACTTAACGCTGCATCTACAGAGTCATGGCAGTTATGTCTCTAGGGCTGATTAGTTGAGATGTAGGTTTTACCTGAATAAGATGTGCTTTTACCAACTGATTAGCCGGAACATATAGTGATATTACATCACACTAGACGCTGTTTACACAGATTTAACAGGAAGG